GGCATCAAAGGAAAGGCAAAAGGGCAAGTTACATTCAAGGTGATAAGAGTATCTTAAAGGACGGAAAGCAAAAGCCATATAGTAACCCAGCAGTCAATTTTGGCATGACATACACTTCTTGCTGTCTTAGGCTGATCACTAACACACTATTTATGGCCTGGGGAATGCTGTGGATAAAGAAGTTCTCTCTGGTTTGTTTTCAGTTGTCTGATTTACCCCTTGACTTCCATAGGAGGCAATGGGGATCTACACCGCCCTTGGGATTTACATCATGATCAGTACAGCCATGGAGCCATTACAAGTGGTGGAAAGTAATCACTGCCTTATGGCTGTTTGGCCAGTATCGTGTGACAGATGGTCTTGGTCCAGTCTCTAATGGAAGGGGTTGGCACCTGTGCAAGAAACCCCACAATGACAATTAATCTGCAATGTTTGTATCACCTCCTGCACCAGCTCTAACAGAGCGCGAGTTTCCTTCCTCCACTGGTACTGGACGGTGGTGGTGAATGGTCAACGAAGATGAGGTTGATAGTTGTGGCCAGTTTTGAAGTAAGACTCTGGTGTTTTCCAGAACAGGCTCAATGTGTGTTTTGTGGATAGTGTAGGGAAGCACACAGACCTGAGACCTTTGCTTCACTCTGTTGTGTAGAAATGCAAGGAGAACTGTGGTTATACTAGCTCTTGGTGTGAGCAACTCTGCTGGCTGGGTTCTATGGTTTTATTGCAGACAGACCTCATAATATCAGATATTTATCTTAAAATCACTAAAGTTGGGTAGTGGTGGGAAAATTTGAAAATATGAACCGTATGGACAGTAAAGAGTCAGGAATAAATACCTTCTTCAGAATATATTTTTAAAAACAAATAGCATGATATTTTGTTTAGACAGAATAGGTGAACAATAATGCACTCACCGTGACATACACGTTCCAAATACTGAGAAATAAAATAGGGATAATTTCCTAAGTGCTAATAGCAGGTTTATTGTCTGTCTGAGAACATCTGATCATCATCAGCACACCTCCTCCCTAACAGAACTGGCTCCAAAACACAGGCTTCTATTTAATCTGCCTGTGGAAAGGAGGTTTGATTCTTTACTCCTTTCCCAGAGCAGATGGTATGGTTTTGTTTCACAGCATCCTTGTCTCTAATGCTTGTGTCCATTGACTTTATGAGCTAGGTTACAGTACTTAAAATACTTCAGTCAATAAGTATCTGTTTCTGTTCTTCACATTCAAATCCACAAATCAGTTTTTATTTTAAAGCGGCATACATAGTTTATCACCTAAGAACAATGCAATGATAGAAGATTAAAAAAAAAAAAACAAACCTTGAAATCTGTGTTTTGCTAGGAAAATGAAACTTGTAAGAAATACCTTCACATTTGTTTGCAGAAAAATAGGTTCCTTTTAGCAAATACAGCAAATAAAAATCAGATGCTGTGATAAAACTTGATTGTATTTCACAGTCTTGTGTACTCTCCCATCATGGAAAAAAGCATCTGTGGAGCACCACTGCACAGAAACCTGCCTGGGAAAGGGATAGATACATCATTGTATGAGTGAGGCAAACCTTCACTGATGAAAACACCTAACACTGGGAGAAGCTGGGCACGTGATCAGTTGGTAGTCTTCCAACAGGCCATTGCTACAGCAGACCTGCCCCACTGACAGCGCCATCCTCCTGACATCAGTGATGCACAATTCCCTGTTCCTTGAGAACAGGGTCTACGTCCCGCTACCTTGCTCCTCCTGGTAACAGCTTAATTCCCAGATTGTGTGACGATCTCTCATACACAGGCTGGAAATTGCAGATGAGTGTTGCTTGAGGACATGTTAATTTACAAAGAATAAACACAATAGTAATTCCTAGCAGGTGGACATATTGCCACTGATACTTTTTTAATGCCACTTTCTCCTTCCTACTGTAGTGCACACACTGTGGGTTGCATGTATGTCATTCTCTACTGTAAATGAGATGCAGATGAATAGAGGAGATCATGTCTCCTCTAATGTGTCTGGAGGTTGTATTGGATGAGCTGAAAATGACTGCATGACAAGTAGCCCTTTTTTTTTAGCGTACCACTAAAGTAATTTTTGGAGCTTTTATTTCTAGCTCCCCTCTTTTGTCCATAGCGTAAGTCACTGAAGCACAGTTGTATATAGCCAGAAGTAGAGCATCAGTTTCCACAACCTGAAAATCCATGATCCTGTGCAGCAGTGGAAGGATAAGGATGAGAAAAAGAGCAAATCTATTTGTTTGGTTTCCCATTTTATTACAAAACAAAATATTGTCATACAGAACAATGTAGCACGTTACAATAGAATGACATTTGTTGTTTGGAAGCCGTTTCAGAGGTTTGGGGCTAATTGAGCTCTGACAGGAACAATTGAACAGTATCCATCAGGTAAGAATTGCAGCAGCAGCAGAGAAACTGCCTTAGCTTTGCCTCTAATGGGGTGACAGAATGTTAAAAAAGAGACTTTAAATTGCAAAGATGCATCACTCCTAGAGCACGTGACTCTTAGAGGTATTACCCAAGTCTTGCATTGCTTCCATTCTGAACTGAGGCAAAGACTAGCAAGTTTAAACACATAAGTGACTAAAACAATGAAGTGGAACAATCTTCATGGTTTCATGATTTAGTCCAGTAGTCCATTTCAAAATAAATTGTAAGAAAACAGAGAAGTAGTTATAACCAAAACCTTGGGTTTCCTTTTTTCCTAGACATGTGCTTACTTTGAGATTTCCCCCAAAATGAAAAGCGTGTGAGAGTTTGTGGGATGCCACGTTGAACTGTCCGAGATGACCAACAAGCCTTGAAATAGGCCAGAAACTAAATTCCTTCAATTACAGACCAGTTCCTATGCTGTCCCTTGGTGAAACATCAGAGTTGCTGTAACCCTGTTTGCCCATGTTACAACCAAAATGTTGTTTTCAAAATTCATTGCCGTCAAAATTTCTGTTGAAATCAAGAGGAACAAGAGCTGTGCACAAACGCTACTAATAAGATACAGCTCATACTCACAATGCTTAATCTAATAGAAATCCGTGTTAGAGCTAGTTGGGCTACAGCGTTTTACAATTTGAGCCACGTATGACTTGAGAGAAGTATCGGGAACCTAGTTCTGCCATTTCTAGTGGTCAGGTTTACGTTACTGTTTTTTTCAGTGAGCATATTCTTTATAGATCACTTATCAGATTTGTAGTCTCACTTGAGGAAGGGATTCTACCTTTGTGTTTATACAGCATGTTATTCTGATCCAAACTGGAGCTTATGAACATAACAGTATTTAACGGTGAGAATAATAGTAGTAATAAGTAGTAACACAGAAGAAGTACTTGAATACTTGTCCACAAAGCAAAGAACATTCTTTTTAGAAGAAATAAACATTTTGAAACCCTATGCAGAGATCACCTTAAATAAGTTATAGAGGACTTATTTTCTCTGGAAAGTAACTTTAAAGTCTTTGAATTATTAACATCTTTTAATCATTTATATCTCAGCTGCCATTCTTACCAAAAGCCAGAAGGTTTTTTTATCTGATTTTTAATGTGATTTAAATTAAACTACAGTTAAAAATTACTGAAAAAATTGGAATGATCTTAGCTCAAGTTTTAGATAACATTTGTTCCTTGTTGTATCATGTTTGTGTGGTTTTCCCTGCCTCACAGTGTAATAAATTTCAGTATAATCCAGAAATTAAAACTTTAGTTAATGTCCTGATGGGATCACTTGGTATATGATGCAGATCTTAAATAAAAAAGCCTACTGACAAATGAACTCTAACTGAACAATCATATTGTCTTTATAGTGCCCCATATGTAAAAGCAGTTTAAATAGTTACTCTAGAATGTCATTTAAAGTATACAGTCCCATGAAATCTGTTCCCAAATATTCTTAGACTACAGGTGACTTCTAGAAGTATACGTAAGTTAACAAATCTGGGTGAAGTCCTATTCATGAACTTACAATTCAAATCACTGAAAAAAAGAATATCTAACAAAAAAAGCACTTACACAGGCTATGGGTGCTATTACTTCTGCAGTCCTTCTGTACAGAGGAAAGGCTATAAAGATTCTTCCATACGGAGAAAAAGTCTAGAAGGCTTCTGTAGAGAGAAAACTAGTTCCTGCAGCTTACAAATCTGTATGATAGTTCTATTTCTATTCTAGTTCATCAGGTTGACTCTGAAATGAAATGCCAGGAGCTTGTTTCAAGTTTAACTTTTGAACCACACTGCTTTGTACCCATGAAGAAATACCCCAGGGACCATGCAGTTCATTCTAGATTCATACCTAGTTATAAGAACTGTAGTATTACTTAATTCTGACTACAGGCTTTAAATGTATGAAATGGTTGATTTAAATTGTAGTCATTTAAGGTTGACTTTGTATTAATAAAATTATGGAGCAGTACACCATTCCATCCTCCAGGGTTCATGCAGTAGCTACTTCCATAACTCCATAAGCAACGACTAATGTTCTGTGATAAGAACTGTTCTTACCAGGAATATAAGGTGGTCAGCAACTGGCCACAAACATCATGGGATTTACAAAAGTTTCTGGCTATAATTGATTGTGGGATATTGGTGAGTAACTGGGGGGGAGGAGAAGCTCTGCAGACGTCACTTGTGCATGAAGGAATTATTTTCAGTTTTGTGTTTTTATAGCAGAAGTTTGTTTCAGCTGTTCTGTATCTGTTTTTGAAAAGGGTATAGAGAAGAGTGACTCTGGATCATTATTTAGCAGTGCTTCAAAAGAAAAAAACATTACTGAAGTAGAATATGAAATGAAATCTAGTGATGCCTTCTAAAAACTGCCTAACTGTTCTCATGAAACATTGCAGTATCTATGCTAGAATGCCCAGGATGTTAATCATCATAGGCTGTTTTATAGGATTTGTCAGAGAGTAACTAAGCATAAACATGATAAGCAGAAATTGTCACCCCTTTTTTCAAATACAGACATATAACAGATTGATATATTTGTTTTCACAGACTTCCTTATATCATCACTATTCAACAGACAAAGGCCTGGACAGGCCCTCTAGGTAAGAAATACAATATATGATTTCAGAAGACACAGATTATACCGGCTGAGGGTTTTCTTTGTGACCTGAAACCGGCAGATGTTGCAAAGAGTCAGATTTTAACATTCACCTTGCGAGCTACTGACAAACTGGAGAGATGCATGGAGAGCGTGTTCGTATTTTGATACTGAAGTGTAGATTTTACTTCTGTTTTACAAGGACTAATTGTTCACATTCAAATTAAACCATACTGTATTCTGGGTCCTTCCACTAACACCTTTGAGCTTCTGTCTCGACTGCAGCTGTCATTTAACCTTACTGCCTGCAGCACTTCCAGCGCCGTTTCCCTAAGCATGCTACCTCATCTGTTCTCAGTCTCTGTCTTTTTCCTATCTTTGCACTGAACCTCTAGTACCAAACAGTAGTGTAAAAAAACTTGATGCATTTATTTCAAAGCCTTCACTATGAAAATGACATAGCAATTTTGTATAAAACTTTAAAACAATCAGGTGAAGAAATTCGGCTTTTCTCTCTGAAATATGCTGTAAGATGTCTGAGACCAGTGCTTCTCCCCTTTACATGTTTTTGATTTATTTGTTCTGGCATTGTTTAATCTATAAACCAATAACATAATTATGAGCTTACTTTTTAAATACCTGAATTCTGATCTCAGACTGCTGCTAATACTGCTTATTTCTGCAGTTCTGCAAGTACTGCAAGTGACTACAGAAAAAGAAGGAAGTCGGAACCTGCTGTAAGTCATCAGAGGGTGCTCAGTGATCAGAACGCAAACAGGCCTAGCCTGGGCCGTACAGATATGCAAGGCCCATATACCACCCTTAGAAAGCCTTTAACTAGCTCATCTCCTTCTTCTCCATCAAGAGCAAAAGGTAAGAGGAGATCATATTTGTTAGCAGAAAAATACTGATGATGTGTTGTACAATACATTGGTAGTAAATGCAACTGTCTGCTGTTGCTCAGTGCACTTCACTGGGAGATTTACTATAGGAAGCAACTGCTTTGGGCCTTTCATGAAAGGCTAACTTGTTTAGTCTTATGTGTTTAATTTTAAGCTGAAAAGCTGGATTTGTTACAAGGATTTTCCAAGGAGTTTCAACTCCTTATTCCAACAAAAGAAAATTGACTAAATGAAGACTATGATTTGTACCACAACATATAAACCTTTAAAGTTTTATTAACTCCACTACTCTCTTACTATTGTGATTTTGAAACTGTTTTCAGTATATACAGAAAGTAAATCAAGACAAATAGCATATAAGGTTAAAGATGTGTTTCCAGGATAGTAGACCTTTCAAATCTATAGCTGATGTTTTAGACATTGTCAGTCATCAGGACCTAATTTAATCAAGCAAACATCCATAGTCTGATTTTTGATTTTATAAATCCTTGAAGTATTTAGTACAGCACATACAATTTAATTAGCTTCTTTTTCCAAGTAACTGGCCACTCTCTTACTGTTCTCCTTGTCTCTCTAGAAAAAGAGATAATTGAATCAGGTGTTGATTTGGGGTTTTGCGTGGGGGTTTTTTAGCAAGACAAAAGGTTTCCAGTAAAAATTAAGATGGAAGTAATATACAGAGGAATATTGTATACAATATGTCTCCTGTTTAAGTTACTATTATTCATTTAATTGCTGTATTTTGTAGCTATGCTGATCAGCCTATAGCTGTATTAGGGACTATATAAACCTTTGTAAAAGTAAATTCCCACTGAAAAGAACATAATATCCAGGCTGCAGCAGAATCCATCAGACAAAAAAAAGCAGGGAGGAATATTAAGAGTGAAGTGATGGAGGAGCAAATGTATTTTAAACCCAATGTTACAGCAGTAATTTAAAAAGTGGGTAAACTCATCCATTTGGTGTACCAGGCCAGGCAGTGAAAAGTTGGTAAACTCCATTGTCATGGTTTAACCCCAGCCAGCAGCTAAGCACCACGCAGCTGCTCACTCACTCCCCCGCCCAGTGGGATGGGGGAGAAAATCGGGAAAAAGAAGTAAAATTCGTGGGTTGAGATGAGAACGGTTTAATAGAACAGAAAAGAAGAAACTAATAATGATGATGATAACACTAATGAAATGACAACAGCAATAATAAAAGGATTGGAATGTACAAATGATGCGCAGTGCAATCGCTCACCACCCGCCGATCAACACCCAGTTAGTACCTGAGCAGCAATTCCCTGCCCCCACTCCCCAGTTCCTACACTAGATGTGACGTCCCATGGTATGGAATACCCCTTTGGCCAGTTTGGGTCAGCTGCCCTGGCTGTGTCCTGTGCCAACTTCTTGTGCCCCTCCAGCTTTCTCGCTGGCTGGGCATGAGAAGCTGAAAAATCCTTGACTTTAGTCTAAACACTACTGAGCAACAACGGAAAACATCAGTGTGTTATCAACATTCTTCGCATACTGAACTCAAAACATAGCACTGTACCAGCTACTAGGAAGAAAATTAACTCTATCCCAGCCGAAACCAGGACATCCATTTACCTGCATTTGCCTTTGACTACACCACCGATAATGAGCACTTACCATGACTTAAACACTTCTTGTGTTTGAAACTCTTTCCCTTAAGAACATCTACTACAGCTAATTAACTTTTGGAAGGTGACCTAGCTGTCTCACTCCATTCTCTCCCAGCATTATGAAACCTAGTAGAATGTTACTTTTTCTTGGAATTAACCATTTTGTCAAAGCAGCAGCACACTATAAGCTGTTTGATCAGCATGGATTTTGAACTCAAGTGTTTCAGTTTCTGATCCAGATTCAGATTGCTCTAGAAAGCAGATTGAGCTGTTTGAAGCATGAGTCCTGAACTGAATGTTGCCACTTGAGACCACAGTCTCAAATTTGTCTCATAGTGACTTCTAGATCTAGCATCCGCATAAAAATATGTCTTAAAACTTGCTTGAAAACTCAGGCTTTGTTCTAGAAGTCAGTCTAAGGGTTATTGTTTCTTCTACATGCTGGTTAGGCTCAGTAAACTGATACATCTTCCTTTACACCTGTATAGCAGTTCCTCAGCCGCCTTGTTCTGCCCTCCGTAAGCTGTAGAAAACAGCACGCCCTTCAGTGCTATCACACAGGGAAAGAACAGGCTACCTAGGAACAACTGGGAGAAGTTTCCCATTTGATCTTATATAAAGATTTCTCTTTATCTTAATTATTTTAGAATATGCAGTTGCTGCGAACTCTCCAAGCATTATTCAGCTCAAAAATTCTGAACAGCTTCGTTCAGAATGCACAGGTAGAACAGTCAGTATTTGACTGAGGTCTAGATTTGTTGTTTGGCTTCATCTTTAAATTCTTTGCAGCTTTTATTGTCTGTTGACCTGCTTCAAAATCAATGTTAATGCTTGTTTTCTTACATTGCTTTGGCGGGGGTGGGGGATGCAGGGGGGTAACATCTCCATAATTCATAAGGAATTCTTTTTGATGTTCAAATTATCATGAGTACATTTCTACAGCTGGAAAATAACTTAATTACTAGCTGTGCTACCCCAGGCTGTAGCAACCTATGTACTGGCCTAAGTTGATGGATGCATTAATTGCTGTCTCTTTTCTAGTCTTTCTAATACTTACTGATGTTAATTCCAACTTTCTGAATCTTTTAATTTCTGGCAATGTCTCTTTTTTACCATGCTGCTCTATGGATTATAAAGGTGGGGATATTAGCAAAGTATATCCATCCCTTTTAAGTTATTCAATGCACAACCACAACACCTCAAATGAATTAGATTACTGTAGCACTTACAGACAACATTTAGCTGTTCCAAATGATTCAAGAAGGGCAATCAGCTATAAGAATGGCTGGCAAATGACTCGTCAAAATGCAGAAGTCTGGAGCAGCACAGAAGAAACTGCTTCTCCAAAGAGAAAATCTCGTAGCTGTGATGATCTGTTAACAGATGATCGCGATAGCTTTCCTGATGCACAGGCCAAGTCTGAAAGCATGGGCTCTCTGTTATGTGAGGAGGACTCTAAAGAAGTTTGCTCAATGAACTGGGCCTCCCCATATGTTGAGGGCCGTGGTAGTAGTAGGTCAAGAGTTCGTCACAGATCTGCACATGATGCCCCAGGTTTCCTAAAAATGTACAAAAAGATGCACCGTATCAATCGCAAGGACTTGATGAATTCTGAGGTGATTTGTTCCGTGAAGTCCAGAATACTGCAGTATGAAAAAGAACAGCACAAAGGTATTCTTCAAGGCTGGAGAGAGTCTTCTACTGAAGAGGTGCCCAGAGACATGGTGCCAACCAGAATATCGGAATTTGAAAAGTTAATTCAGAAGTCAAAATCAATGCCGAACCTAGGTGATGAAATGTTGTCAGCTGTTACGCTAGAGCCTCCTAAAAATGGCTTATGTCCAAAGAGGCGATTTTCTATCGAATCGTTGCTGGAAGAAGAAAATCAAGGCAGACATCCCTCTCAGGTACAACGGAGCTACAAGTCTAAAACCCTGGTGCCAATTCATATTGAAGTGACCAGTGATGAGCCACAACGATCGCATATGGATTTTTCAGACAGTGATCAAGATGGAGTGGTTTCTGACCTCAGTGACTTTATACAGATAGAGGGTTCATCCTTTTGTAGTGAAAGTGACTTTGACCACTTTTCCTTCACGTCATCTGAAAGCTTTTATGGATCAGGCCATCACCACCACCACCACCACCACCACCACCGGCATCTCATCAGCTCCTGCAAAGGGCGATGCCCAGCATCCTACACCCGCTTCACCACCATGCTAAAACATGAAAGGGCTAAACAAGAAACCACTGAAGATCCAAGGAGACAGGAAGCAGAATCTGGCCTCTCTAAGATAGCATTTCTAGTCAGTCCAGTGCCTTTCCGGAGGAAAAAAAGTGCAGCTCCTAAAAAACAAACTGAAAAGAAAAAATGCAAGTCATCTGTATTTGAAGCACTAGATTCTGCACTTAAAGACATCTGTGACCAAATTAAAGCTGAAAAAAGACGGGGAAGCTTGCCTGACAACAGTATATTACACAGACTTATTACTGAGCTGCTTCCAGACATTCCAGAAAGGAATTCATCTCTTAAAGCTCTGAAAAGGAGTCCCATGCACCAGCCTTTTCATCCACTGCCTCAAGATGGTGCTATCCATTGCCCACTGTACCAGAATGATTGTGGAAGATTACCTCTTAGTGCCTCTTTTCCAGACATGGACGCAACTAACAACAATGATAGCGCACTGTGTTTCCAAGGTGGATTAACTTTCTTCCTCTATCCTTGTGATTTACTTATCCAGCCTTACTCCCTGTATTTCCCACCCTTTCTCATTCCATTTTTATTTGTGTCATCTGTAAGAAGCTTTCATCCCACAAAATTCTTAATGAAGGATGTCATTTTTACATAGGTCATGAGGATAGATAGATTTGCTGTCTATTCACAAAATACAGTAATCTGGACAACTGAAGTAATGGTGTATTTCAACTAAAAGATTATTAGTGCTATAAATTACAGTGTTGTTATTAAATTAAGCAATGTGGGTTTTTTCCCCCAGAAAATGACCTTACAGAAAGTGAATGCATGCATCATAAGATGCTGGTCAAACAGAAAACAGTACGCAGATAGCCCTTTCTTTATTATTTAAAAAAAAATCTGCATCTAAAACATGTTGTACTGTATAGTTTTGTTACATGTAAGTGATAAAACTGCTGTTAATTCTGCCAGTATCATAGAAAGCTTGATTCTGTTTTCTAATGAAAATACACTAATTCTACTGCTTTATATTACTTTTTGTGAATAGACCTTAAGGTCATTTTAGGAAGTTTCCATTTCCACCGTTCAAACAACGCAATTTCCAATTTCTGTGGCAGTAAAACTAGTTCTTCTCATAGAACTTTAATATATCTATGAAGTTTTGAGTAATTTCCTTTCCTCTTAGAAGGGAAATTCTCAATAATCAAAACTTGAATGAAATTGTCAGGGTGAGTATAACTTTTTTAAAAGTCTGTCTTGACAGTGATCTGGTTTTAAAGTTACTACTTTGAGTTGTTCGTTGCTCTGCTTCTCTTTTTCTCAAAAAAAATTGCTTGAGCTTAAAATGTTTTTAAAGTTTAGCCTTGCAATGTTAGAAGAAGCAAACTAGATTCATCGCAGGAGTGCACAAAGGTGTATCCTAGATGATTTAGATTAATGTCTTTGGCAAGGCTGTAATTTATTTCTCTTTTTAAATGGTAACATTTCTGTGTTAAAGCGTTCTGCTTCTAGACATACGGCCCTCTGACAGAGCATCTTTGAGAATTTAATGACATTACAAAGCTATTCTTGAAATCACTAATGGATGTAAGAGAGAATGTCTTTAATATATCAGTTATGCAATATTTGATCAGGCCTATCTTACTTATGTTTAACCTCACATCTTTTTCTGTAACTTTTGCAAGTACCACACTAGCAAATACATATTTCAAGAGAAATCAGAACTGATGCTGTTACCATCTCTTCTCAACTAGTTAAAATACACATATTGAGAACAGAGAATTTGGTAAAAAAAAAAAAAAAGCTATAAAATGCAGTTCAGAATTGAATTAGTAATCTTGAGGCCTGATGATGATTAACCCTGGCACGCAGTACTACACAATGAGACTGGAGTTGTTGGAAATTACACTGGTCACATATCACAGTTGCTAAATGAGAATTTTCCAGTCCCTGATAATAAGGAAATCCACAGTGCAGAGTAAACATGGATTCCTAATAGCTTCTGCAGCTATGAAAGAGCCTGGCATGCAGAAAGTGGTACAGTCTGTCAGCATTAATATCCCTAAAGTAGCGTGGAGAATGAGTACAGCAGAATATTCCATTGACTTCTATCAGCACCAGTCACGGCTGCGCTCTACTTCTAATGAAGTTACATGTTTTGTTGGATCTGTGTGTGTCTCTAACAGCCACCATCCACACAGAGACCCCACAGTCATAGCAAAAAAACACTGAAAACTACAATATTGACTGCATAAGGAGCTGTATAGAAACAAAGGAAATTGTTCTTCCTAAAGCTTCTGCATTTTCACTCCTTCCCTCCCATGTCCTTCTCTTTCTGCTAGAGTTTAAAGAAAAAAAAAAAAAACAAAACAAACCAGATGTGTTTGGAGGCATTATATCTTTAGTTTTATACAGTGAGCATAGATCCTCTTTCACAGACACAGGCCATATCAAGAAAGCTGTCCAGAACTGGGACTGCAATATACTTGTTGGTGTTGACATGCTTGCAACCAATGATATAAATAATACAATTATCTCATTTTCTGCCTTCACTGTGTTTATCAGTAGCCTCAAGTTTTTGTGGCTTGGCCAACAGAGCCCTCTGGAGACTATTTACATCCTTCTTCTGTAAGACCCCAACATAACGGATGAGATGCTTTCAGTTCTTTTTTTTCCACTTCTGTGGAAATGTACGGGCTTGGTAAAGAACAGATTGTGTGAACGAAGTCAAAGGAAGACAAATATCAGTCATATGTGTCCACTAGCAGGTATTACTGTGGCAGTAGGAGACTAAAATAGTAAATCTCAAAAGTCAAGAGGCAGTTTATTTCATCCTCTGGTCTGAAATAATTCCATTTTCATTTCATATTGGCAACTTGCAGAGCTATAAAGAGTGTAAGATCTTGATTTTATTCACCATACTATAATACACCATCAGTAAACTGTGCTTTAGAGAAAATCTGCCACATAGATTGGTGACTAATGATTTGTACTCCGTTTCTTAAAACAGAGTTGTTTTTATGAAGCAACATCCTTTTAAATTCCCTTGTGCTGCCTAACACGTGCCCCTGGTAAAGTAGAAATGCATCTTAGATCACTTAGGAGGAAACAATTTTTCTTCACTGTTTTCTCATTGAAGCATGCTTTCATCATGTTTTGTGCATGTAATTATGTGTTCATATTGTTGGCATTCCAAAACAGTTTCATGCAACCTTGTGAAGTCCCAGTACTGCTGTCATGTCTTCCCCTTGGTCCAGTAGGGTGGCATCCCTTTGTACAGTGAGGCATAATTTTGCTCGCTTGATCCTCTCTCACGTATTCTTCTGCTGTGGATCAGAGGTCAGCCTTTCCCTTTGCTTGAGAGTTAGTATCTCTTTTTTTCTGTAAAGGTGCACTTTATTCATCATATCATGTGCTTTTCTTTCTATTGAAGGTAAAATAATAGATTTCAATATCTCTTCACTCTCCTAAATGAAACCAAGCAGCATCACAGATTTGAATGGTTTTGTTTAATTTATTGTAGTTTCACATAGTTTCTGTTTTCAGTAGACCAGGAGTCTCCTGGAAGCTATTCTTCTGCTTTCACTGATGTGGGACGATGTACTCCAAGGGAGAGAAGAGGAACTACAGACAAAGAGGTAGTGAAACAATAAATAATGCAGGAATATCCATATGGAAAATTGGTAACATATCTGAGGCAAGATTTGTGTTGGTTTTAAGACACTGTAATGATACAGACCAAAGGAACAGTTACTTATCATATCATCAGATGAGACAGCATCCTTCTTTTTCATTAAGGAGATTGGTACTTCAAGAAGTTGAAAGAATATCAAGCTGTGTTAAGATAAGCTGTATCTTCTATTTATGTTTAAATAGATAATGGACTTAAGTTTACTAGTCAGTGACAGGCTCTGTCAAAGTTGACTGGAGTGGGTGATTAGGACAAAGAAGAATAGCAGATGTGACTGGGGAAAGGCTTTTCTTGAGAACCAGAGCATTGCACAGAAGATACCTCAGTCATTTCAAAACCGAAACAAAGAACATCTGTATTTCACCATTATTTTTGTTCAGAAAAAGCACAAACACTGCTGTTAGTGTGTTAGACAAAACCACTTATCCTAAGGGCAGTCTCTATTTTCTGTAACAGTTGGTGATTGTAGTTATATACAGATTGCTTTATTAATGCTTTGGAAGAAGAAATGGAAGCAGGCATACAACCTTTAAAGTAACACAAAGTATCACTGAAAAGTATACACAGAAAAATGGAGTATATCAATCAGTATCTTAAGCATATTTCTAGATCTAGAACTATAAATGCTCTCCAAACAGGCTTCAGGGATTTTATTCAATCATAAAGTAAGTACATTTATATTAACCAACATCTACAGACCATAGATTGTTAACATTTTCCATTGATTTTTATTAAAATATTGCACAAAACAATGGCAGCATAAGAGAGTACTATATTTTAATTGCTAATATTTAAGTTTTTGCTCTGGACCATCTACCTTGTTAAATGGTGGTACAGGTTAGAACTGGTTACAGGATCTGAATTCAGATCCACTTACACCCCACTGACATGGTTATATTGCTGCAATTCGATTAAGAGTCTGATTTCAAGAAAAGACTGCTTATTACGAAATAAAGGTTAAAAAAGTTCCAGAGGCCATATTGTGTGTTCTTTTTAAAGAATTTGGTGACATTGAAAGTCATCTTTCAATTTGAAAATACGTAAAATACTTACACAACAAGCCATTCTTAACATCACTGTAATTTAAAAAGAAAGAAGAAACACTTTTCTATTTCCAGTATATTTTGTACATTTCAAAGAATTTTGTATTTAATCAGCTCATCAGCTCCACTGTTCTTTTAACATTATCTCCCTTCTTCCATTATTTGCTTTAGTAGTTACAGTACCAGCTGTACCAAAATCAGGAAAGAGTGAAAAGGGCTTAGCTACAGTTGATGGTATGAATATCCCCTCCCATCTAAAAGACTATTTTTAACAACAGCAGGGAACAGAAAAATGCTTTTAAATTTAGGCTATCTTATTTGAAGGAGACCTGTAATGGAAAATTGTATTAGTATTACAAAATGCATGTTAACAGTATCCCTGTAATAACTTTGGGGACTTTTTTATTATAGCGAAGACAATGCTCTAGGTATGCTAAATTTGCTAGCCTTTAGATGACCAGAAGGGAGGGAACCCAGTTGAGAACATCTGGCCTGGAAGAAAGGTAAAATGCAAAATGTACAAGTGTTCCTTTTTATTCCTCTTACAGAAAGATGTGCACCCTTACATCATTACAAATAGTATCTCTCAGAAATAGTGTTATCAGCTTGTTCTAGTCACTAGTATATCCTAGAGAGATTTTTTTTTTAAATGTAGCAATCTCATATGTGCAGGTAGTTGCAGAGAAAGACTAGATCACTTCACTAAATATCCTCACGTAATACTGCTAATCATTTCTTGCACCTTCCTCTGAAGTATGTAGTGCTGGTTGTCTGTCAGAGGTAAACACTAGATGAGTGAGGCTCTTGGGTCAGATGACAGTTCGTGTTTTCAGCACAGCTTTGAAAGCAGTGAAGGTTGTCAACCACACAGGTGAGGAGAGGTAGGGTTGTTTTACAGTTTTATTTTTGAAACAGTATTGAGCTTACAGATACTTGGTGATAGAACTTTATAAATAAATGAAAGGAATGACATGATGTGATTGCCTGTGATAGCAAGAGAGCTGCACAGATGACTCACAAATTTAAAATATTCCCAACGTTTTCCAGCTGTCAGAGTAATTTTTCCTTTATACATATATATAAAATGTGATGTAGTATTTGCAGCTGAAATTAGCCTGAAGATAACAAGTTTAACAGAAGAGGCATCTAAAGTATTAGAGAATATTAAGCATGTGAATTTCAATTGTACCTAGAGATCTAGTTGCCTGCAAGTCACATTGGCATTTAGGTATCTTTTTTTTTTATTTTTGTAGTTCTCTTAAACATAAAATTGCAAAGCAGTCTGTATTAAAATTTAGCTGCTGTTTCTCTTTTTAAAATAGAATATTTTTAAAATACCAAGTCCCAAACACCTAACTGCCTTGAAAAAGGAAGCTCTGTATTTAATTGCCTCTTACTGCAGGAACTGCTGTAAGGCACACGTCCTTTTCTTTTTGGATCTTGGTCACCTTTTAAAAGCTGAAACATGTTTACCATATAGTAATACTACCTGAATATATTAATCACTTTGCCTGCTTTTCAGAAACTGCCAGCTAGAGCTGTATATGACTTCAAAGCTCAGACTTCTAAGTAAGTACTAGACTTTTGTTCATTTAAGAATTCTTAATTCAACAGAACTTTTTCTAGCACTTGTGGCAGCTAACTGCTGTTCTAGCCAATTTCAACAGCAGAGGACCCTGCTCACTGTCACAGTAGTCTCTGCATTAGCAAACTGTGTGAGAAGTTATTTTGTAATAAAAATGTCTTCAATTATTATATTCTGTGTTGTATTTGTTTAAATACATGAATGGCTGTGCATCTTCAGCCTTCTAGAGCATGGGTCCTGAGGGTCACCTACTGAATGCTCCTCATTTTTTGTGAATTGTATTTAAGGTACACAAGGTACATTGCTTAAAATACCATCATAGATAGTGTGCTTATCAAAATTATGTATAATGCTTCAGCATCTTCCTGTCTGTCTTAACACACACAGGCTTTCTGCAGGATGTGACATGTCCAATACCAACACAAACCACAGTGGCCCTTAAGAAAAACAAAATCAGGAAACACTGTTTTAGGATACGAGAGAGTCCAAGTAGAGTGCCTGTATTTCATTCCTGCTGTTGTTCTGATGATCCGGGGCATTTAAACAGTTTTTAGCATATGGCCAAACATCGACACTAGAATTACATTAGCTGCTTCTGGTGGAAAACTCACAACTTGAATTATCAGAACAGCAGATGAGCTCTTGAAAACCCAAATGGATGATACAGCAATGAACTCGCAGGCCAGGATCTGAAAATACTGTTAATGATTTGGATAATTCCCTTTTCTGGTATCCAACATTAAGCATATCACAGGCCCTGAGTATCAAAAATGGTGAGAACATAATCCTGTGTTCTTCATGCTTCTGAACAGCTGACTTGAAAGAAAAATGTGTAGAGCAGGAGCACACCAACCTGTGCTGCTGCAAAAAGGTAGTAATAGGCCACAGAGACGTGGGATATATTCTGTAGTTTTCCCTCCTGATGCCATAAGGAACACCAAATACCCCTCAGATGCCTGTCATAAAAACAGCATCTAAACAGGCCATCTAAAAGACATGATACTTGTATGCAGACCCTATACTAAGTGTTCTGTTAATAACTAGCAATACTTCCTTGGAATCAGTGTAAAACAGGCCTCTCTAACTTACAGATAGTACTTGGGATCCATATATGTGAATCATTTCATTTTATATGGTGTAATCAACTGGTAAATGTACCACAGCTGTGACACTTTTTCTTCAGATGTTTAGTTGTTCCATTCTGTTTCAGTTCTGAACTGTAAAGATCTCAGAAACTATGCAGGTAGAACAGTTAAATGTAAAGCTGTAAACATTTGATCTAAATAAATTTGTTACAGAGAGCTGTCCTTTAAGAAAGGAGATACTGTCTATATCCTCAGGAAAATTGATCAAAACTGGTATGAGGGTGAGCACCATGGAAGAGTTGGAATATTCCCAATTTCTTATGTCGAGGTTTGTTCTCTCTTTTAATTCCTTGAATTAGTTTGGGTAATAGGTCCACAAACTGCATGAGAATGATGAAAATCTGTGTTTTTTCTTTTTCCTTAGAAACTTTCTCCCCCAGAAAAAGCACAGCCTGCCAGGCCACCTCCCCCTGCACAGATTGGAGAGATTGGAGAAGCTATTGCCAAATATAATTTCAGTGCAGACACAAATGTGGAGTTATCGCTTAGAAAGGTACAGTTTAGAACTATCTTTATCAAAATATTGCTATAGTGTCTACTGCTACACAGAATTAGTATATAGGTAAATACTGTGCTTTGGTGCACTCTGCATTCAATATTTGCTATGCACGAAGCAATGTAATAGTAGGAAAGTACAAACATAGTAGCTTATTGGCTTGGTCTTTCACAGCTACCTGCAAATAGTTTAAATATGTTGTGCATGTAAACTGGATTGTGGTAGATTGACAAATGCAAACATCTGCTAACCACCCACCTAAATTTCTAGTTTTCACTTCAATTATCCATTCCTTTTTTAAATAATTATTTCTTGCTGTCACAATCATCATGGTAAGGGTTTTAATATAGAAGAAATAGAAAAATACAGAAAATAGAAGATACAGAAAAAAAGGCTCAGAGACATTTTTGTGAATGTACCAGTTCTTGCAAATAGTTCATTTAATAACAGTCCGCTTTTATAACATTCTCTTATCTTTCCTATGCACATCCTGGTGGATATACTTTATTGCACAGGAGCAAAATAAATGTTTAATTACTGAGGTTTGTGAGACACTGGAATATTACCACTGTAGAGGAACTTTATTATTGCAGGTATTATATACTTAGTTGTAAGCAATATATACTTTTTATCCGTGGGGAAGTTCTGCCTCTTACCTTTTTTTTAAGAATTAAGAGTTCATAGAAGTTATCCAGTGGTTTGTTTTTCTTTTGAAATAAGAGTAAGGATACAGTTTTTTGATGCTGATCTAGAGCCTAATCAAGCATCACTGAAGATAATGGGTGGTTTTCCACTCATCTGAGATTGGTAAACATCAAAGAGGTCTACCAAAAAAATCAGGAATGGGAACTTAGAGAACTAGGGGTTGGGGATAGTTTGATGATTTATTTCTTCTTAAAATTATCTTTTGTGCTTATTGTGGTGGTCATAACCTTGACAGCCCAGTTTTGGTTTGTTTTCAAAAGTTACCTTGCACTGATTTTCTTTTGTTCCATCCCACTAAAGATCATTTTTGGGTACTCCACGAATCAACTACAGAAATAAAATTACAGAAACCTGAGAGAACGCAAAACTAATAGGGAAGGATTTGTTACATAAAGACACATGGTAAAAAGCACATCATGTAAAACAAAGTGGGTAGCTCATGAAGTTTCACTACAGAGAAAAGGTTGAGTAGAAAATTGCTATTTTCCATTTCAGATGTTAAGCTCTCTAAAAACAGTAAGTGAGCTACTGCCCATCTTTTTTACACAGGAAAAGCACTTCCTTCTCTCATCTTTCCCATGAACTCATCTTTTAACTTTCTACCTCCACTTATTCCAGTTTTACTGATAACAAAGCACTTGCATGGATTTCGTTGTTTAACTTTTATCACTTCTAAGGAAAAATGGGCATAGCAGTCACTATTGCATATTCCAGTTAGGGTGTTAGCTAGTAGTTTGGCCAATAATTAGACCAGGTTATGTTCCAAAGAAAAGTTTAATGTTAATGCCCCAACCAAGAGTAGGAGACTACATGAGATTCCCCTCTGATAAAAGAATAGCATTTGCAGTCCATGACTAGCCCCCCATTTTGCTGGAATGGTAGTTGTATACATGGTTATTATAAATGGGAGGAGAAATCTGAAAATGGAGACAACTCTCAAGACTGATGGGAAACAGCACTGCAGGGAAAATAATACTGTGTGTTAAAATAATATCTACTATTCAAAAAATTAACTTACAATGTATCTGCTGATAACTCATTTTCATAATGCATTTCAGGGAGACAGAGTAATTCTTCTTAAGCGAGTTGATCAAAACTGGTATGAAGGTAAAATACCAGGAACCAACAGACAAGGCATCTTCCCTGTTTCCTATGTAGAAGTCATCAAAAAGAATGCATCAAAAAGTGTTGATGACTACCCTGATCCTCCAATACCCCAAAGCTATTCTAGTGATAGAATACACCATTTAAGTTCAACAAAGGTAAGGATTTTTTTTTCTTTGCTATCACCCCTAGAGTGGGCTTAGAAGCACCTCAGTTTTTTTTGATAACATAATACATTATTTATGCATTAAGTACACTACATTTTCTTTCCTGCGTAGGTAGAATTGCATTACTAACTTGTTTTTAAAGTATTTTAATAGCCGAGTCTGTGTTTTACATTCTGCCGGGACTTCTGCTCTTTTCTTCATTAGCTATTACATTATTGAGAGTAGGGCCAGGCAAAATTTGGGCAGAAGAATCAAGCTGACAGAACAAAATTTATTTGGGAATCTTAGACAGAATTTGAGCATTTTAAGCATTAAGGATATGTCTAGCAGACTTTTCGTAGTGCAATGTGAGAAATTCCCATAACACAGTTGTCCTAAAAGCCTGCAGTCCCATAAGCATGCAGAGGGCAAGAGAGGGCAGTTTGCGTGGGGACACAACTTGCAGAGACCAGTTCTGTGCCTTTCAAAGTAAAGGAGAGCAACTAATGCTTCTGTACTATAACCTTCCTCCTTTTGCCATTCACACTTTAGAAGGAGGCTTGTTGGTACAACCAAGGTTCTTCGGAGTGGTACAACAGTGACAGTTTTGTTTCATTTAGTAGTGAGGCAAATGTCATCACGTTGTCAATGAACTTTGATTCAGACCTTTATAGTTGTAATTTTTCACACCAAATGTCCATTGTAGGTTCTGAATTCTTTTCCTTCCTAGGCTATATAACCACCACAAATCATACTACAGGATGTTGCAAAAAGATTTCCTGTATTCCAATTTATCATTCACTTGTGAGATTTCACAGTCACCTGTGCGGAGAACATAACCTTTTTGGCAGTGATAGAAACTAAGAAAGTTTCTGCATACAAACTGTGATTAGCATTAACATATTATTGATGATTTTGAACACTCAAGATGGAAACATTTCTAAATCTTCCTCTTTACCTTTGTTGTTTATCTCTTCAGCATGGGCAGTGGGTTTTGTGTGCAATTATAAACTTCTTATCCTGCTATTAATCTCTATTTGTTTCACTTGGTTTTGTCCCCTTTTCTACTTTCATATACTTGCATACTGGTGCTCATTTACGTGCTTCAACTTTGAGAGAAGTTCCACATTTATTTGCAGCTTTGGAGACAGCTACCAAAAGATGTCATTTATAGACAACAGTGGCGTCTGAAAATACTGCTTATGACTAAACAATATTAACTGGTTTTGGACAGTTGCTAGAACAGGTCTTGTCTGGTTTTCCAGAACACGTCACAACAGAGAACTAGCTCCTCTCTCTTCCATTCCGACAAAACTGTTGAACTGAAGTAGCATCAAATTCTGTAGCTGCAGACTGAGGTATTGATAAGCTAGGGCCCCTTATTATTACAGGAACCTAAAGGTTCCTGAAGCCAAGTCAAAAGTATGAGGCAGCTTAGGTGCTCCATATTATGGAGCTGCCTCTCTCTATTTGGAGATGCCTCTCTCCCCATTTTCTATGGAGCAGGCTTGCTTCCTGCAGCTAAAGCTGGTGTTTGTGCAACCCCTATAACCTTTGTAGAGCATAGGTGATGCTTCAGAGCATTTGCATTCAGATTACAGAACTGTCCTGCCACTATTATTAGGTTAGTTATTACTAAATTAGTTCTCTAGGGGAGGAAAGTGGAAGAAGCCTTTTTTGTAACATAGGAAACTTTTGCAATCATCTGGTTCTAGCGTAAGTCACAAAAAAAAAAAAAAAAAGCTTCTACTGACACTCCTAAGCAGACATCTTGTTTCTGAATTCAGCTATATTCAGAAATGTCAATACCATGTAAGAAGACATCTTGTTCCTGACTAACTAGAAGGACTTTAGCAGTCCTGAAGGTGTTCTGGAGTTTACCACAATTACTGACATCACTTTTCCTATTCTTTTGGAGTTATTTAGCACGTATCACTCCCTGGTGCTAGAGCAATTGCACTAAACTTCCCTGGCCTAATGGCAATGAAAATAAATAAGTAACACAAGTCAGGAGCAAGCTTTGCTCTCCTTAATTTGGCCTAGACCATCTATATCTTTAGCTCTAGTGCAGCCTGTAGTCACAGGAAACTAAAAACGGCAATGTCTCCTCAGCAGTATTATTGACCTTAAAACCACAGGTTAGAGGCCCTTCTTCAAGAGGAAAGTTGAGGGAAAGAGATTAAGTATTGCTTGTAACAGCCTAGCTATGTTTTAGCAGACTGCATTGTGTCAGTCTATACTGTTTACTTTGGTACAGAAGACTCTGTAACAAAGGTTTTCCTAACTATAAAATAAAGCTATTTGCTTCAAGAAAACTCAAGCAGAAGGTAAGTAAATTAACCTTCCTATTCTGCGACATTAATTTAGTCTTTTGAAATTATTTTCCTATTCTAGAGTAATACTTAAAGTCTAAAGTAGTCCAGATTACTTAGAGAGATGTACATCTAATTATTCTGGATAATTCTAACAATGAGATCAAAATATTTTTCACTCAATTTTAATTTTGAGGATTAATAGTAACAAAAATGCATTTTCAGTATTTATTGAAGCAATGGATATCTACTGATGCTGTGTACGTATGACTCACCAGTCTCTCATTCTTACAAAAGGACGTTTCTTTTACCAGAAGGATACTTCAATCAATATTATGTAACGGTACTCAAAATATACTGCTGTGTACTGTGCTGTCACTATTTTAAAAGCATTGTTGACTGCCTACATTCAATTAGAATTGAATGTACCTTTCACAAATGTTGATGTCATTTTGAACTAATAGGGTTACTTTTGAAAAAAAAAAAATGCATTCTGTAGCTGCTCATGCCTTAATAAAAGTATGCAATGTATTAAAGATGTTTCTTAAACATTTACTCAGAAGTACTAAGAAAAAGTAGAAGTATTAACATTAGGATAATTAGAAATCACCTCTAGTTCTTGTAGTTTAAAAGAAATACTTAATGACACCTGAACTGTACTTCTGAAAATGCTATTCTCAAAGTATCAGTAATGGTTTGGGGAAAATTACATTAATATTAATTGTATGATTTAATAACCTGTGACAGGCTCAATAACAGAGCACCATAAGTAACATAACTTTAGCAGGTCAAATGCAAGTTGCCTTCATGAATGTAATGATTCAGATCTGTCTTAATGTTTGACATTTAAGCCACAAGCCAGAACCTGATACAGTTTCATTTTTCAAATGTCTTTCCTGCTGTTCTGATTCATGTAGTAATGATTTCAGACACCCGTGCTCACTGAAATGATACCCTATAATCCAGATGATGGCACAGACATTTTTCTTTCCAGTCTACTCATACCCTGGTTCTCTGTCGTGCTTATTTATTTATTTAAATTCCCATATTTTTCTTATTTTTGAAGTTGCCTCCCCAAGCACTGTCCCCACTTTCCAGACACCTTTCCTCCTCTTGGTCACACACTGATCAAAAGATTCTCCAGGCTGCCACTAGTGACTGGTTTTCAAGGACTGTTGGTTTCTCACCTTCAAGCGTGTGCATCTTACCTCCTCCACCATTTCCAGACAGTTTTCTTTGTGACTTAGAAGAACTCAATTCTTTGGCATTAACAATACCCCGATCTGTAGCAATCTCCCCAGGTAACAGCATTGTCCAAGTTAAGGATGATCACTTTATTCCAAATACAGAGGTCTCTCTCAGCTCTCCTACAGCTCTTCCTCTGTCCTTTCTTCTGTCTACCTCTGTCTCATCTTCAGCCAGCTCATCTCATGACATAGCATGTAAGCATACCAGCAGCAATACCAAACCAGGAAAAGATAAAGACTTGAGAGGTATACTTGACTCTTCAGTTATCGAAGTACCTGGAGACTTGTCAGATATTACAAGAGAAGGTGAACATGTTGGCGCTATCTGTAACATCCCTTCGCCACATGAAGGTGGTTCCGTCTCCAGAGTGCTAGCTGCAACTGCTGAAAATGAAGAGGAAATCTGTACTGCAGATCTGTCAGTTAATACAGGGGATCAGTCAAAGCCTCAAGAACCAGATTTCTACAGAGGAGCACAAGACACAACAGAAGAACTGACAAGACTCTATATAGAGGAGGATCTGGGACAAGACAATTTAGAATTCCCAGTAGCAAGTGGAGGAGACTCCATGGTATGTTATGAAGGATACACTTCACCGAATACTGATAAGGTATTTCAATTTTGGAAAAACCTGGCTTCTGTGTTCAGATAGCTTACTCCATATAATTACTCTCTGCCTTTTCTTGTATTTACGTTTGTATTGCGCACAGGCACAGTTTGATACTATTGTATTCGATAAAAATTGCCAGTGTTAGGGGATAGTCCCTTCTCAGAAGCAGGCATATACACCATTGTAAGTTCTACAGTGTATCAATTCTGCTGGTCCTTTCCCTTCTGTCCTTGCTAGCTGCCATCGAGCTTCTGATGTGAAAAGCCAGTGAACCATTTTCCTCACTGGCCCATTACATGCCACCCCTTTTGAGCCAGAGGCCCCAGCAAGCAAATGCTATGAACAACCTTCAGAGGGAGGGACATGCTTCCTGCAGAGACTCAGCGGTTTGTACTTCACATGTGTCACTTCACCAGCTGATATATTTATAGTAGTTATGAGAATGTGACTAATAATAACAGATCAGATTATGTTTGGCAGTTAAACAAATGCTTCCCCTAAAGCCCTCCCCAGTTCCTCTTTGGGAAAGTACAACACTGAACTATCCCAAATGTGTGCTAGCCATTAAATAGCAGAATATTGCTACACAGTTTGTGTGGTTTCTAGGCAAAGTTTTAGAACAGACTTTTTCTGTCCAGCACTTATTTAAACAGACTCTTCAGGCAGTTGCTTTGGCTGGCACATGCAAACGTGTAAATCAGATGCTTAGGACAATATGTTTTAGGCCAAATGTAAAGCTAGTTAATTAGCAAGATTTTGCAGGCTGCCTCTACTGTTACTTGACCTGAAAAACACAGGAGAAAACCCTAAGAATAGAGATGAAGTCCACGGCCACAAATGGC